ACACACAGGTGGAAAACACAGCTGGGAGTGATTACGTGACGAGAGTAGGGAGACAAACTGAAAACACACACATAAGACGCAGACCTTCACAATAAAACCGGAAACACATACACGCAATGACATAACACACCAACTTAACACAGACTGGGGGACACAGAACATATGAACATGAACCATGAAACAGAAGAGTATAAACACCCAAGGTGACCAAAACCACAGAATACTAATAAACTAAACATAAACACGGAGTCACAGACTCCGGATCATGACAGTAATGTAGTGCAAAATACATAGCATGATTTCTTTTCATTTAATAAGATAAAACTCACATCAAGAGTTTCCATATTGGCTGTTCTAGAATTTTGCATTCTTATATCAGACTATCTGGTCTTTAAGTGATTTAGGGCTCAAACTGCTCTGCTTTTATTAAGGCTGTTGTGTTTTTAGCATGTTTTAATGCTTTGTATCTTGTTCTATTTAATCTCAACAAGCCTCTAAAAACAATCAGTGATCACTGTCGGTCTCTCTCGGTTTTTATTACCGCTATTTATTTTAAAGCTCCTTTTTTAAACCTTACGATGTAACTACAGCCCAGGCAGTGCAGCAATATATTAACAACTAACCTTGTATTGTGGATGGATTATCTCAGTTGTTCTCCTGACTGAAGTTTGGTCTGTTTACAGTATCCTGCCATGCAACTGCATTTGTCCCTAACCATCGGGAACCCTCACGTTAACTTTTATCGAGTGGAAAAAAGTTTGCATTTATCCTTCTGTGTCGCTAGCCACCACGTAGCACATCATTATATACCAGCTAGCCAAACTTCAGTAACTCTAAAAAACGTCACTGCTGTTTACTTTACTGTCGTCATTTACTGTATGTCTGAAGTGATAGCAAAGCTCAACGTCTTAATTGGTTTCAGAAATCCCTCAGTCAGAACAACATATATTATATTTAGATGGAAGCTAGCAAGCTAATTCCCTGCTAACTTCTAACTCTGTTGAATTTAATAAATTCTGTTTTCATGGATGCTGCATGGATGTTACACATGGTAGAGCAGCCACACTGATTATTTTATTACAGATGAAAGAGTTTCGACAGTTTTTCAACTCTCAGTGATGCCGCAGTGATTGTTTGACTTAGGGACCTGCAGCGGCATTTGGGCCCAGACACAACTAATCATGTCAGACTTAAAGACTGGATAAGAACAGCTCATCTGTGCAAGCAAAACCGTCATGTTCAGAGCATTTTCAGGTGAAGATCTTACCTTACGCCATCATTGGAGAGTATTTGACAGTTTTTGTTCCAGACTGCGATACGACTATAACATCTAAATGGAAGCAAGTCGAGGAATCTACAAACCCATCAGGGTATGTGACAGCTTTTGTTTATACTGCATTTCAACAATTTTCAGAATTTGATGTAGAAAAGTTGACAAATTGAGAATCGTTTTAAATAACAGTGAGTAATTTGCTATTTCTTTGACAGGTGTTGTTCAACACACCCATTTATGACACAGCTGTAAAGATCTACTGCCATCTTCCCGGCTACAGGGCTCAGGTAAGACCCAGATCCATGCAAACCAAAACTGACAGAAAATATCAGGAAATTTCTGAGGACCTGCGAGTTGTGGTGATTAAATGTCTCCTTTTATTTTTAGATTGCAATGATGATGGAGTTTCTCAGACTTTAGCAGGAAAATAGTTTTATTCTACCGAACACCTAAACTCCTCACCGCATTGGAGGATTACATTCAAATCCTGAAAGAGAAGCCGCAGGAACCACAAAGCACCAAACTTCCCACCGCCCAGGAGGTGGTGATAGAGGTCGTTCCCCACATCCTGCAGGGCGTTTGGGAGCTTCCTCCTCGTCCCGTCTTGAACATGGCCTCCCAGAGTTTAAGCATACTCTCCACGAGTGTCACCAAGGCCACTTTGGATCGTGTCCCCAAAAATCTCACAGTGATGGAAGGCCAGGCCATCTTCACCCACTCCATCTGACACGATACGGTCCAAAGTATCCTGACGGAGATCAGACAGAAATATCCTCAAGAAATTCTATGTAACTTTGCACCAGTGTTGTTCAGGATGGTTGCTGATGTAGCAAAGATCCACATATCCAAAATCTTCAAGGCCCCTTCAAGTTCTCCTGATGGTTCTTCTAAATGAAGAACTTCCATTTGAAAGACTGACAATGTCCAATTGTGTTCCCCGTGAAGGACCTCCATTTGAAAATCTGCCAGTGCCTAAATTTACACAAGTCAAAGAACCTCCTACAGAAATTCTTACAAAGTCTGAAGTTCTTCCCCGTGAAGGACCTCCATTTGAAAAGCTGCAAATATCTGATGTTCTTCCCAGTGAAGGAGTTCCCTTTGAAAATCTATAATTATCTGATGTTCTTTCAAATGAAGAACGTCCTGCTGACAGTCTCTCAATGACCAACATTCCACCAGCTGAAGAATCTCTTTCAGAAAGTGTCCCAGTGCCTGATGTTCCCTGTGAGGAACCTTTTGCTGAAACTGAATCCAGTCTGAAGTCTGAAGACCTTAAGATCAAGAAGAAAAAGAAGAAAAGGGGATTCTTCCAAAAATGTAAAAGTCTGTCATAAGTTTTGTCAGACCCAAAGAAAATGACTGACAGAGAAACTGAAATTGGTGTTCCAGTCGTTGTAAATATGTTCCTTGATTATTGTTGTTCATGTTTTGGGGGTTCTTTAGTTGTGTTAGTGATCTTAGTTGTGTTATCTCTGTCTGTGTTTGAGCCTCTTTGTTTGCTCACCTCCTGTGTCTTGCCAGTCAGTCATGTCTGCTGGGTGTTTTCTCCCTTCGTGTTCCTGATTTAATTCTAGTTCATAGTTCGCGATTTGTTTTCCTAGTTCTTTTTTCTTAGTTTTTCATTTCAAAGAGGCCAGTTTAGTTTCTAGTTTTTATGTTTGAGGTTTTGGTTTGCTTTTTTGTGAAGTTTATTTCTTATGAAAAGTTTTTCCAGCAATAAAAGCTGCTGCTTTAAGTTTCATTCCGCATACAAGTTTGGGTCCTACAACCTGCCTGCCACAGCACACCATGACAGAAATCAAATTTTAAAAACTCATTAATATTTCTATACGAATTGCCGCCTAAATCCGCACGTATACGGGTATTTTTGAAAACGCAGCTTTTTCTATGATTTGGGCCTTTTGTCCACACGTAAACATATACATATACACACATTTACATATACATACGCAGTTACTGTCGCTCCATTTAGAAAGACAGAGGCATCAGAGTGAAGTTCGGACATCGGACATTTGAATACATTTTTTTAAATTAAATTTGTATATGCTGTATGCATTTTGTTCTTTCCCAGTTGTGAGTCTACACCAACCAAAATGCTGTCTTTAGTTATTAACATTTGAAATTTTGAAGGCACTTGAAAAGTAGCACAAAATTATCTGCCTTTCCAGAAAAACACAAACTTTTAGGAAGTACTTCAGGTTTTGTGAGTGTACAAAACCCTGTTTAGTCTTTCCCTCCCAGGCTTCTGGACTTCTGATTGGCCAACATTTCGTTTTTAGCGTTTACATGTGGATGGAGCTTTTTCTTCTTTTTTTTTTCTTAAACGAAAACGGAAAGTTTCCATTTTCAAAAATACCCGTGTACGTGTGGTTGTAGCCTTAGTAGTTTATTTTATTGCTACCTGTAATTTATTTCAGTTTACTTTCCTGTGTTTAATTGTTTACTAAGTGTTTGAAGTGTGAAATAAACTGCAGTGGAGTTTGAAAACAAAATATGGGTGTGTGTGGATGTACTTTGTGCCGGGTGGGGGGGCGAAATTTTCTTGTAAAACAAAGGGGGGCTTCGGAAAAAACATTTGAGAACCACTGACTTACAGTATGATTTCTGGCCCTTTTACAGCCAAAATTACCAAGTAAGTCCAGGCGGTCTGTACGATACTTGTTCAGTATATTAAGTAAGCTTTACTCCATTTTTTTAGGCACTAGTTTGCATAGATTTTGTGTTCTGGGAACTAATGAGGTTGTACAGTATACTCAAAATGAATAAGTTGCCCTAAATTAGTCATCTTAAGTAAGCTGTACTCAATGTTTTTTTTGAGGCAACGAGTCTGCATAGTTTTGTTTTGTTTTTTAGATCTGGGAACTAATTAGATCTTTGATGAAAAACATGTTTAATGGGCTGAAATACACCGAATCATTCACCTGACAGCCAAAGTGCAGAACTGAAATTCACACAGAAGAACTTGGAAACTAGCTGAACAGCCATAAGAAAAACATGTCTAATGGCAAAAGAAAATTTTGAGCTAGAACACATCTGAAGAAATATTGAAAACTCATATTCCTTAAATCACTGGAAGAGCTGGATTCTGTATTATATGTTTATATGTCTAAACTTAAGAATCTCAAATTAAAAAAATTTAAATTAAATTTTAAGAAAAATAATATTTTCAGAATATCTGCTCTGTGTGTGTGTGTGTGTGTGTGTGTGTGTGTGTGTGTGTGTGTGTGCGTGTCAGCGAGTGAGTGACATGCAGAGAACGATCTGAACTGGCATCAAGTGAACAGGAAAATTAGTTTTAAAACTTTAAATGTTTTGGGGGTTTTATTTTATTTGATTGGTTAATGTGTTTTAGTGGGGAGATACAGACTAAACACAGAGACATTAACTTGCATCCATAATTGCACGTGTCCAACTAAAAACCTTCAAAATTAATTACATCCACCAAACAACACCTGTTCAACCTAATTAGATTTCACTGGACAGTAATACACAGCCATTATTTATTGGTCTGGGATGGCTGTCATTGGTGGGGATGACTAAATATCCCATGGGACTTTGGGGCTACATCGGTCTGTCAAACACGCTCCCATGATGGGCTTCTCTCTAAGATAAACACTCCAATGTCTGTCTGTCTCTCTGCCTCTAAGTTCTTCCTTCCGTCATTAAAGACATTTCAGTTGTCTCTCCTATATAATTGATATTGCATTGTTTTTCTTGTTCTCCCCAGATCTGAAGAACCCAGAGATTGTGACCCTGAGGAATCTCACCATGGACAGCACAGGTGTCTACAGGTGCACTGCAAGCAATGACGTGGGAGAGGAAAACTGCACCATCGAGGTCACAATAAAACGTGAGTTTGGGGAGAAAAGGGCGATGGAATTGACCTAACAGCATTCACCTCGCACCAAACTGCCACTCTGATTGATGGTTATTGTTTCAAACAGCAGCTAGAAATACATTTATTCCCCTCCCTGCCTTTCCATCTAGCTCCTTTCACCCTCTTTATTCTCCTTCAGTGCTTCAACTGGACTAAACCAAAATTGCTGGCTATGGTCACCACCCCTGTCCCATGTCACGTTTCACTCTAAAACTAGTACATTGCATCAAAGGCCCAGCACGATTATGGTCATGTGTAGACACAAGGCAAATCAAGTGGTTCAGCATAAACAGTTTTCAATTCTTAACTAGAACTCAGGTGCTGTAGCAAAAAGATAAGGAGTATTTTTCCAGCAAATGGGCATGAAGGATAAGTATTTGTGAATTTAAGAGTTCATGGGAAAACTATGAATAATATGAGACCAGAGACCGTAAGTGACTCAATCTTTCATCAACTACCTCCTTTCTTGTTCACAGACGTGAGGGATGTGGGGATGGTTGCGGGCGCAGTGGTGGGTATATCCCTCGGTGTCCTCATTGTGATATTAATCATCTGGCTCGTCTTCCGGAAGAAAGAGAAGAAGAAGTACGAGGAAGAGGAGACCCCAAATGAGATCAGGTTTATTAATCATCATTTGTCCAGTGATTGTTTCATTTTTTCACCATTTTGCAGGTTTTATGTGTGTTAGCGTGTCAGTCTTTGTTACTTGTGGGGCTCTGTGGGGCTGTTGCGTTCTGCTTAGCTGCAGTTTAAATTTTTTGTTGAACTCAAACATTTGTTTCCTGGCTGTAATCACTTGTAATCAATGGTGATGACTTTTTTGAGTATTTCTGCATTTTACCCTTAATCTAGTTGCTGCGTTGCACAAATCAGCTGACGACCAGCACATTGATTTTGCAGATACTGGTATTCTGCATACTCTGTATGCAATATATTCTAACCCCTTCAATTTGTTCACTACATCAGTGATGTAGTAGTTCACCTGGCTCATAGTCCTTCACAGTTCACAAGTTACTGAAAAGTGTGAAGTACAGAAAGAAGGTGAGAAGTTTTCTTGTTTAAAATCCACTGAGAATGAAAAACGTGTACGTGACCTTGAGCACAGTTTGGGTGAAGAGCTGTTAAGTGACCACTGTGTGCAAGTTTCACTAAAATCTCACCAGTAGCCCAGTAAAGACTACCTAAACATAAATATTCTGTTAATAATTTATGCATGTTTAAGTGTCCATGTGACAGGTTGTTTTTGCAGACAAAAATGAAAACATAAAATAATGAAATATTTAAAAAATCGCCCTCAAGTAAAAATTGTTATATGACAACATGCTTCTGAAATAAGATAAGTGTAAGACAGTTTAGCTGCAGCGCTGTGTAACACGGGGTTGGTTGGATGAACTGATGTTGGTTGGTGCATGTTAACCTGCTGTGTGTGAGCACTGATTCCACTGGAACGGTTTTAAACTACAGCTAAGCAAGTCACATTCTAATTGAAACAGCCACAGCCCCTTTATGCCTGCATGTGCTCGATGTCATCCCGTCGTGCTGCCTGTGCTTTTTTTGTGTTTCTGTGTGTCTAAAAGGGGAAACAACTAGAAGGTAGTTTTCATCGATTATCTTTTAGGAGCTTTCTTTTCAAACCACCCTTGTATTTCAGTGTGTGCCTGTGTGCTCATGGAGCTGAGATCTCACAATAGTTTTTATTTATCCCTTTAAGACCTGAATGCACAGGTGGACTCTGTGGACCTTGTAAGAGCAACGTTTTTGTGACAGAGTGGACTTGGTGTAGGTGCATATTTACCGATGTAACAATGAATAATGCAGCATAGCTTAGGAGTAAATAAAGTAGGTGTAATGAAGTGCTTTCTGTTTTCATAACATTCTAAGTCTGAGCTTTTCCACTGTTGTTGCTGTACCAGACCACCAGAGCGATGCAGATCTCATGGGTACGGCTTTTGAACCACCCAACACTGTTTAAAAACTGTTCACTTTATGCAAGGGCTATGGGACCCTCTGTGGTGTGCCTGGTGAGACGTTGCAGTGTTGCCAGTAGTGCACAGCTGAGAAGTTTCTATTTCTAACTTTCTGAACAGATACTCACTAATTCAAGTACCATCCAAACACCAATGACAGCAAAAATGTCTTCAGAGTTGCTGTTTAATGGTAGGGTAACTCTTTCAGGTTACTTTTACCCAGCAGTTTATTGGAATATTTCTTGGAATATTTTAACCCTGTTATTAAAAGCTGAGGCAAAAGTAGAATTATAAAGTTTTCACTGTGTTCACTGCAAAAACTTTTTATCCCCCCCTTGTAACAATTGTATCTGGGGAACAAGTGATTTCAGCAGATTTCATTATTTCATGCAAATGTGTTTCACAAAAGTTAGACGCTGCAGGAATCTCATGAATTACATGAGCCCCCCTACATAATACTACTCCCATGTGTCCTAGACCTTAGAATAATATATTTGAATGGCACTTTGGTGTACTCTTTTGCAGTTTATTGTATGTTTGTACGGTTCTAATTTCAAGTACAGGTACAGTTAATTCAGCTAAATTAAAAATGATATGGACTTTTGTCACGATTGTGTTTTCTGTGTGTTTTTAACCACAGGGAGGATGCCGAGGCTCCCAAGGCCAAGCTAGTAAAGCCCAACTCCTTGTCCTCATCCCGCTCCGGCAGTTCACGCTCCGGTGCCTCCTCCACCCAGTCCATGGTGCACAACACTGCCCAGCGTGGTCACCGCCCTCGCCCACCTGCTGTAGCAGCTCTCAAGGAAAATGGACACCCTCCTGGTTTCCCCCAGTCCCCTCCATCCTACACTACAGTGGTGCCCCCTAAAACCACTGAGCCCCCTGCCACTCCCAAATTCAACTCCAGGAACATGTCCGCGCCTACACCCCCAACCCTCATGGTGCCCGCCCAGACCAAGGCCTTTCAGACTGTGTAGGACTGAAAGCCAGCCCCTTCTTACAGCCATGCGAGACTCCCATCCCTTTCCAAGCCCACCAGCCCCGTCCCAAAGACTAAGACTCTTCCATAAACAAAGAAATGCGACTAGTTAAAAGGATGTAATTAAAAGAATCAATACTATAAGTCCAAAAGTACTTTTAATGAATGCATATTTAAAAAGGGAAAAATAAGACATGCTTGCCCCCTATTGAATTACATAAAACAACAAAACAAAAGAAAAAGCAGCAACCTAAGTTTGTCTCATGGCTAAAGGCAGAACTTATTTTCTTGAGTTCCTTCACTTGACTTCGGAAGGCACAGGGAAGCACCATGAGCAGTGAGGTGGAAGAAGCCCCTAGTAAAGCTTTTATTTATTCATGAAATCCAAGGGTTAGGCATACAGTAGGGGGAAAAAAAGGGAAATAGTCTGGATAATAGCGTAAATCTAAAGTCTGAACCAATGGAGTCTCATTGCTTTTGAGCATCAGTTGTAAGATATGAGTGCAAGCAGGATGGAGAAAAATAAGGACGAAAGCAGAAAAACGTATGACAGCAACTTTTTTTTCTCTCTCCCTCTCGGAGGACGGGGTTTGTGGTGATTCTCAGATTCATGTCACCCTGCAGCCCTAACTTGCTGCTTCCAGCACCTGCTCCGAAACCACAAAAGCCCCCCTTTGCTTCCCATGGGCTGGGCCAATCGTGCCCATCCGTGTAGACAGGCACGGCGCGTGGCATGTGCATCATCTGCCTCGGTGCTCTTGGTCTTTTCGTGCTCTCATGAGGAAGCCATGAGAAACCACGACAGTTGTGAGACTGATTCAGTTGCCTCACAAACAGCTCATCTGCTTTACCAATCAGCAGGGGATACTTCAGGTACAAGGATGTAGCACTGATGTTAATTCAAATCAGTCTTACCCCCAGTCGTTAGCCTCCCCTCTTCCCCCTCGCGGATCCTGTGTGCATCTATGGACATCTTTTTCTGGTACCAAATATCCTCCCTGAATAATTAAATAGTATTTATTAGGCTTGTAGTGATACTTTAAATATAGGGATAAGCATTCTATTAGAACCAGCTGGACTTGTTTTTCTTTTCTGTGTATCTTCTCTATGAACAGGTTGTAAAGAGTGACAGACAGCCATGTGTCCATTCATTCATATTAAGAAGTGCCACCAATCCCTAGGATGGGTTATTATTATTACAATTATTATTGTTATTATGGCTTTTTTAACTCTTTTGTTTACCTACTACATTTCTGAACTGAAACCAAAATTTGTCACCATGAATGTGTGCTGTACAAAGATGGTGGATCCCATTGTTTTCAGCCTCTTGTAAACATACTGAATCAATACTCATGCCAAGGCACAAAGAATTGACCACGAGGTTCAATTTGAATGAAGGGAGCAAGGAGTATGATTCTAGAGATTTCTATTGTACAGCGTGTGTGTGGTATCATTGTCAGTACTCTCATTGGATCCATTAAAGTGGTGTGGCACTTGATTGCTGTCTTGCTCAGTCACCAGGTCCTGCTTGGTCATTGGTTAAACTGTGCTTATCAGCCAGTCCCGCTTTTGTCATGTCCTCAGACATACCCAGTGCAATTTGATTGAAAGTAGCTGAAAAAAGGGCAAGTAGCCTATCTAGTGTGCCTTCGCAATTCCTCTTTCCTTTGATGTTTTTTTTTTCTTTGTCCTTATCTTCAGCACACCAGTGGTTAAGTCTCACATCCAGCTTTGAAGGTCAACAGCAGCAAATACTGAGAGATACACCTAAACAAACTTGCCCCTAGTAATAAGCGAGGCAGCCTAGGGACCGCCAAGCAGAGTGAATTATCCCTGGTGAGCAAAGCAATCCCATGCCACGGGACTATGTACTGTACATTCTGTAATCAGTCTTGTTTTATATTGTACATACAGATAGATATACGCACATGATGTCATTTAATTTAAAACACAAGGGTATGTAAGGGGAGATCCCCCCCCCCCCTTACAAAAGAGTCAAAAGGGAAACCCAAAGTGAATTTAGACCGTGTGTTTTTATACACATGCTGTGTGAACATGTGAAGCCCCTGTGTCACCAGATTTACATCAAAACAAATTCGGTGCAACACAAGGTATAAACAATTAAAATCAATTTGTTTTGTCTAAGACAAGATCCCATCATACATACTGGACAGATTCCCATAAGAGGTATAGATTTTATTAATTAGTGTGACAGTAATTGTTTTCTTTCTGTTTTAGTGACCCTTTGACCTTCCTCATTTTATCCTACCATTGGGATAAAATTGCCCTTTTACCCAATATCAACACATTTGATATGTAAAAAAGTTTCCAAATTCATTCCAACAACTGACAAAAAAAAGAATTATTAATTTAGGATTAGTTGGGTTTAAAATCATGCTAAACTGGAACTAAAACCACTGCCAGCACTATCTTAACATGGTCAACAAAGGAAAACAAACTAACCCTAACTAAAAATCTATAAGAAGCTGCCTTCAGACAGGAATTTCAAGGTGAATGTATGAAATAGATATTTACTGATATTTAACATAATATGTAAAGATATGTAATAGTTTTAAAGCAATCAGGTGGAGTTTTCATTTATGTTAGAAATATTAATTATGTTAACCAATTAGTGGCCATCCAGTATGTTGACCTATGCTTACTTTATTTAAGTCAGCATGGCCTTCTGGAGAGTTATGTTGCACACACCTGTTCTAAATGAACAAACAGGTGGCGACAACAGAGAGCATTACATGATGAAGGTGCTCAACCAGTAACCGTGGCAATCCCAGCTTACCTAGCATATACTCTGAGATAGCATTTTAACTATCTAGCTATCATTGTGTATCCTTGACCAGGTCTCCACAGCGATAATTTGCTAGTTATGATGAAAATCTTCATCAGAGCAGAATTTATACTACTCTGAACTCTAGCTCGCCAAAAGAAAAATTCACTATTCTGCATTTTCACTCCTTATGTTTTTAAATTGCTGAGCTCAGCTATGAAAGTGGAAGACCACTAAATGAGCAAAAATTATAGTATAATCAAACCATGCACAGTCTGTATAGTTAATTGATGATGAATGTTTGGCAAATAAATTAATTATCTTGGTTTGGACATATAAAAAAAATTGTTTTTTTTTGTTAGTTTTATGACCCCATTGCCTCTCAGGACAAACGGTAACTGAAGATCCCTTTACTGGTTTAAAGTAAGTTGCTCTTTCCTCCATCAATACTTATATACCTGTAACTTCTAAATCTGAATTCCACATTATAGTGAAACGTTTCTTGTGCAATGAAGTTTTTTAACCTAAAATGTTCAGAAAACCAGCATCTGTCTGAAAAGCACACTTGGTTTGATTTCACACACGGGATTTCACACATGACTAAGTGTGAGGTAAATTTAGAAAAACACGAAACAAAACAATGCCTTTTATATTTAACTACAGACAGCAATTCATATTTAAGCAGGGAAGCTACTGTGTATGTGTGCGTCTGAGTGTGCGAGGGTGCATGCGTGCATGCATGCATGTGAATGTGCGTGAGTGTGTGGGTGTATGCATGTAAATTCGGTACAAGCCCTCGGGCCACACCCACACATTCCCATGTTAGCCATTCACTGAATGAGAAGGATCCAGCCAGGCAAAGCAACTTCTATCCAAATTGATATGACTGCAGACTGGCAGTGTTTATTTTAGTTTTCACTGACTTGTATGCCTATTGAACTTGGCTTCGCAGGCGGTAGTCTTGTTTTTGCTCGTGGGGGTGGCGTCCTGAGATAAAGCACGTCCATAATTCATAACTATCATGAGCTCTGGAGGCCACTTGTGCGCTCCCTCCTTGGTCTTGCTGTCTTTTAACACAGAATGCACTTGGCCCTGGGTGTACTGATGGCATCTCAAGGTGCATGCGTACGCACATTTAACACAAACAGGTAAAAGTTGTATATACACACACATACAGACATGTATACGCTGTATTCAGGTGCACACAAAAACACAGGTGTGTTCCTCATGTACATTCACAGTTGGCACGCACATCGTCACAAACACGTACACGGTGTACGCAAACAAAAGCCAAACCACATTTCTTGTTTTTTCTGCTCCTTCAGAATCAATTTGATGGATCGAATGTCTGAAGGTATTACAGCTGACTGATGGAACCAGGATACTAAATACAGCACAGAAAGGGACACACAACAGTGCATCCACCCAGAGGACATCTGCTGTCTTACACACACACACATGCACATATACAAAAGCAGCTAGTGTAACAAAACACACACACTTGCACTTAGAAAGACAGACACTGCTATGCATCTTAACAATCTGGATGGCATATGCCTAAAGACTTTTTTTTAGGAATCTGTGAGTGTAGTCCTGGGAATTAGGAGTGGTGTAACAGGATTGATACTGAGCCAGGAATGTAGGCTCTTGTCATTGAAATTCCCTCCACCACTGATGAAAGTAGCAGTGGAGGTGGAGGATGGGATGCGAGTCTCCCAGCTGTTAAATTCCTCCAAGCTTTTTGATTTGCTTTCCAGCATCTGCAAGTCTCAGGTGGCAGATTCCCCAGTTTATGAGCCCTCGCGTTGCATCTCTCCTCTCATGTGTGCAGCTTAGTGGCCCGGCAAACTTGTGCTCTTTCCAACAAATGAATTTTAAGGCGCTTCAATGTCAGTTCAGCAGAGAGGAGGAGGAAAGTCTTAAAACAAGTCAGTGTCAGCAGCGCATCCACTATCATCCCTTAGTACAGTATCCATCAGTACTATATACTGTCTTATTATCATCACTCAAAGGTGCAGTAAAATCAGTAATGGTTATCTTGCATTATATGATAGGAGTATGACTCTCATGTAGCCACATTGTTTTATGTTTGAATTAAACGTCAGTTGTGTTCTGATTAAAGTTGTTGAGCAGGGCAAAGTGATGCTCGGACTTTGTGGTTTGGCCTTGTATGTCAGCATAAGGGAATGTGATGTATTAATACTTTTTTCCAAAAGGAGACTGATGGGGCTTAATTCAACTTCAAGAGGGAAAGAAAGCAAAGATACCTGCATGTTATATAGGAAATGAGCAGATGATTGGGAATGCTTTGCTTTGATGTAACATAACTGTAATCGGTTTAAAAAAAATACAAATCAAAACTTGTAAATATATCCACATAAAAATTTTATGAAGCTTTATTTTGTTATCTTCCTTAGTTTGTTTTTTTATTTGATTTTTTTTTTTTTTCCAAAATCCTTGTATATCACACTATTTTGTGCGCCAAGCTCATCATCGGCCTGTGTGGGATCTGAGTGGTTGGCTGTTTCTCTTGGCTCCATTATTTCAGTGTCAAGGGGAGACACGCTCATCACGGCGTTACTAAAGGGAAATGTAAGACACCTTTGTTTTCTTTACTCGCATTTGTTTTTCTAATGTGGCGTCTTCTTGGTTTTGTAAAACAGTATACGATTTTTTGGTTTCTTCGTTCGATGAAAACAATCCATGTAAATATCACGAGTCAAAAAAATGTATATTTTTACGATCTCTGAGTTATTACTCTTTCATTTGCAAATAAAATATTCAATGACAACTTATATTGTCGTCTGGCATCTTGATTTGGATCGTAAATTATTTTTTAAATTTGTTTGTTTTTTGCGTACAAAATTACAATTTTCAAACTGCATTTTGTTTGTCCCCAGGTTATCTTTGTCTAATATTCAAATTTGCTAATGATCTGAAAAATATAAGTGTGGGGGAAAAAAGAAAGGAAAAAGGCAAATACTTTCACAGCCCTTTCACTGCTCTTTAGACGATTTTTTTCACTCCCTGTTCTCATATTTTGCACATTTTGTTTTTTCAGACATGTCAAGAATTAATGTGGAATATAAACTTGCTTGATGTTCTTTACTGAGTAAGATACTGTAAATATGTATTCACACAATCGTCATTTCGTATGATTTGGCTGATGGGACTGGAATTTGACAGCTGACAGCAACATTTCATTCATGACCTACTTGCAGGAAATAATAAAACGCTGAAGGGGAAAACAAAAGCAAACATGAATGTTAACAGTGCATGGTTTTTGAAAAAAAAAAAGGTAAATGTTTAAGAGTGTGAACCATTTTGTAAAGCTTCATATAGTGTAGCTTTGTAAAATAGTTATTGTGTTAAAACTTTACTCTTAGGTCCTGTGTACTGTACAGCAGTGGTCCCCAATCCCTGAGTCGTTTGGTACCGGGCCACGAGAGTTGAGGCTCGGGTGTGAAATTTATGGTTTTCAGGGTTTTTATCAGTTTTTATCGTTATTCAGTTTCCCTGGGTATTTTCCCTTGTGTTATGAACAACTCTTCTTTTTTTTGGTAGTGGTACTGGTTTTATTTTGTTGTATTTATCTGCAACACCTTAAAGGCCGGTCCGTGAAAATATTGTCGGACATAAACCGGTTCTAGGCGCAAAAAAGGTTGGGGACCATTGCTGTACAGTATATGGACTGGCAGAACAACTAGCCCTGGAATTATTGGTTCACTACAATTCAGAACACCATAGTCAGTTTTTTAAACATAAATTTACTGTTATAGTTCTGTATATTAAAAACAGCCATTACATTCTGTACCAACTAAGCCCATCCAAATGTGAACCTCTCGTCTGCTTAGGAGGCAGCGTTTGTTAGAGGGCTCCTTCTTCTGCTTCCTCCTCAACCGTCTGCTGTTCTTCGGCCTCTCAACATGACACTCAAGCCACTGACAACAAGGTCAGCGATATATCTATCGACCTGTCAGCCACTTATTGACTGACATTCATCTCTTCCCTCTGAAAAGTTCTTCTTATGTTGACAATCTGTCCAGCTGCCAAGATGGAGTGCATGCGTCTTCTCTGGTTAAGGAGATTGGGGTGACTTTGCCTCTGCTTCAAAAATGCATAGTCCCATATGTGGAGGAAAACACTGATAAAGGCACAGGAGCAAACTGTGAGGGATAATACAATTACCAATGTGTTCCCTGACATCTGCTTGTTAAGTAGTTGCTGCAGAGTGCTTGCTAAATTTACATCTTTTCAAAACACAGCATCCATATTAAACAGGATCACATTTTCGAGGCCAGATCACATTTCTCCACCCCCTGTTCCATGCCACCGTGCCCATTGTTCCACATGATTAGCCATGTGTGACGACACCATCATAAACCCATCGCACTGCCATGCCCACCCACACACATGCACAAACTTATCAATGTATGCGTACGTACGCAACATCAGTGACATTTAGGCACACACTGGGAAATTTCCAGATTTGCGCATTACAAATGTGTTCACATATCACGCGTGCATGTCTCTGCTATTTTTGTTAAATAACAGCAGTAGCTGTACGGTGGGCTAATATTGTAAAAATATTAATATTCAGTAAAAACAAATTGTTCGCATTAATCAAACAAGCATTAAGGCACTGATGTGAAGCACTGAAATTAATTTACTTTTCAGACATGATATTGGTAAGCACTTCGGTATGCAAGCAAATTTAAATGAATAGACAAATAGGTAGCTGAAAGAATAAGTGATATGATAAGTGGCGTTATTTTACAACAACAACAAAAGCAAACCTGGAGTTAAATTAATGAACTGCCTGAAAGAGTGGATTAAACTCACAGTGACTTATAAAAAACATTAATCACATTATGAAGCATGTGTTTGCATAAACCATGCCTCATAAAAAATAGATTTCAGTGGATCGAAAGATGCACACTGCTGGTTTCTTCAGATCATCTATTAACATGATGTGTCCCAATAATGAAATAGCACAGATACACTAATTAACCCAAATAAATACTAAAATGATCTAATGTGTCATCACACAGATAAGAAATCTTTTGGCTCCGAGCAGGCATTATAGTTTAATTAATAAAGATTCATATTTTGCCCTCGGTGGCCCTCTGTAATCTGCAAAGTAAGCCAAAGACTGCTGCACGAGGCATCCTGAACTGAAGACACTAATATAATTGCACCCCCTGGTGTTGACTGGTGATAGCTCTCACTATCTGTGAAGCAGAGAGGCTCTTAATGAGATGACTGAAATCCTAAGTGGCACACTATTAGGCATCAGTCGATAATCAGAAATCTCAAATGAAAATTAAAAAACTAAATGCAGAGCGGCAGGTAACTTTTAGAATACACACCACACATCATTAAGCCTGTTTGTCAAAAAGAAAGTAGACTTAGCAGATTATATAGCTGCTTGTGCTGTTGTTCAATATGCCCTAGGAGAAAGCATCCAAGTAATAATGTCACTGAGTCTCATGCAGGTATTGTATACATGAAGCTCTTCTTAAAGCCTCTGGTGGCACTTGACATGTGTACAAAGACAAACACACAGGCATATAGAAATTAATAAGAAGGGGTGTCGACTCTTGTTTTGAAAAGGTGGGATATGCTCAAGTCTTCCCTTTTAAGATACGTCCATGTATTTACTAATCCTGAAATATTATTATTATAAGTATTTTACCACAACACTGATAGCAATACAGTGTATGGACTTATCACATAGCAGGAGTCTTTACACAGATCATTTCTGGATAATGAATATTGCACTGTGCCCCACATCTCAACTATATTTAACTCTTTGACAACTGTACTAATTATAGTGCTGCCATTAGTTCAGATAGTGAGGTTAATAGTGTTACTATATCTGGCCGTCATTCTACATTAAAAAACATTCAGAGTTATGGAAAAAATATGCATGTGTGAGGGTAAACTGTGCAATAGCAAACTAACACTGACAGCCCAAATATGATTTGAAATGCCTGATAGTTATTTAATAATGAAAACATGAGACTTAAAACACAAAACAATATGGATCGATATGAATTTAGTAAACTAGAATTTTATTGTTACAGCTATAGCACACCTAACTGTCCCTGTCCTCTTGCAAAAACAACCACACATCTGTGGACTTTACCATCAAGTTCAGTCTGTGATAGTAAACACATTTTTTTCTTCTAGTCTTGTACTACTTTTTTTTCAGAATCCATTTTTAAAAAAAACCAAAATACATGTTTTGCTAAATCTAATGTAACCTAGCATTTTCTTGCAGGCTGCACTGGAAACATTTATTTATATATACAAAATTCACAATGAGCACAATGGCTCAAACATAGCTATTACAGAAGATTCATCCAAATCCTCTACAACTGTAGGAAATAATGCAGGTGGTTATTTAGAAGTGAAAAATAAATGACACAAAAGGTGCACTGTGTGCTCTAGGACTAGCTTACAGGTGTAGGCCTTTGTTCTATTTAGCTAATATGCTAAATGCTTTATGGAGTTCTGTTAAAAAAAATAGAAAAACAATAGTGTTTAAATTATGAATTCCACTGTCCTTCTGGATGTCGTCTTTACACATCCCATTTTTAATATACATAGAGAGAGAAACAGTAAGGAATGATGATTTTATAGAGAAAAAAAAACAGCTCACTATTGAAGCTGTGTGTGAAATAATGTCCACATAAACAGAGACCTCTAGGGGATTTTTGCCTGACTCTGCAGGCTTCTCCTACTTCAAGTTAATGTGGGATACTGTGGCTGGTCTACAGTTCAGATAGTAAACACTATTTATCACTATCAGTGAACTGTGGTCTAGCTGCTCCTTGAGCAACAATAACAGCGCACACATTTTCTGTGGATATTGGGCATCTTCTCCTACAGCTAAGACTAGGAGAGGCAGCAGAGAACAAGCTTTTTGAAAAGCCCTATCTTGCATGGATACCATTAAGTTATTCAAGATTTTTCAGTCAGAAGAAACAGTTGTGAGTGCAGATCACTGTTTTGGTTTCTGAATGTCACAGATTACGGGTGACACACTGTTGAGCGAGGATAACTTACAGTAGCTGTTACCTGAGGAGTAGAAAATAGCACAGCTAGCCTATCAGCTAGCTAGTTAGCATAAGCATCTCGGAAGCTCAGGATATTTTCAGTAAGTAAATGCAATTCAGGAATATTCATAAACAAATTGATATTACTTTAATGTTGAGCAACCTCAGAGTTCTGTGCCTGAATTTGCTAACATTTAAAGTACGCTGTTTTATTGAATAAAGGTAATACCTCTTCCTCTTTAACCTTTAACTGTATAGATGTACATTTAAATGCACACGTGCACATCCAAATGTGAAATGTACAATTAGCAAATATACAAATTGCTGTATCTTGTCAGATGTACTGTTTCTCATTTTGCATGAGAAACAATGAGAATGTGCATGTACGGCAATCAAAAGGCTAAAACCTAAATAAATGCTGATATATCCACTCCTCGTGTAGCTACGTTCAGGGCTCCTTTATTGATGAGTTGCTTCTCATGTCTCTGGTGAGTTATTCTTGTTAGTGAAGTAAAGCTGGAGGTTTTTTGCAGTGTTTTACCATGCAGAATTTTAAAATCTTATATTGGGTTCTTCATTCCTTGTGTGCACATTTTATTCATGCCAACATGAGTTGAAAAAGTCAGTTACATTTGGGAACTGAGACACTATTCTTTTTATTCACAGTGAGTTTCGTATTCATAGTGTGATTCTACATCCAGATGATGGAAAGTTTAATGAATCTTGAGCTTTAA